CTGAGGGAGAGCATCTTTTGTCCTTCATTCCCTCTAGAAAGGATTTGACTCTGTGACTTGACACGAACTGTGTGCTGAGACAGTGATTCCCTTGGGGATGAAGTGCAAAGTCCAAAGCAGACAGTGTGTGCTTCTCTGAACCCAGCAGCTGCTCCCCTGCTATGACAGAATAGAACTGCCACAGCTTAAGGGGATTCTGCAGCAGCTTTTCTACAGAAATGTATTCAGCAAGCTAATGGGAATTAGGGCAGGCAATTTCTTAAAAAAAACGTAAAGTACAGGAACATGTTCTCTGTTTGGGTTGACTTGTTCTGTGGGATTGCCCAGCCCAGACAGTTTTCGAACAGTAGCTGGTTGCTTTTCCCTTTTCTCTTGCAGGACACATCACACGTGGATGGAGACAAGCCCATCCTGCGGTGAGTGGGACCTTCCTGCTGTTTGACCTTCCTGCTGTTTGAGAATTGTGGAGCAACTTGTGAGCTTGGCCACTTGCAGTAGAGTGCCAGCCTGGTAGGCTGAAAGACAGTCCCTTTCAGTGTCTGCCTCAGCAGCAGCAAAGGGAGCACGGCCTGTTTCCCAATGTTCCATCAAAGAGGTTTTGAACAGAGAAAAGTCAAGGGCTGCAGACACAAGGTTACTGATTGCTGATTCCAGCCAGGGTGCAATATCTCATTCACAGGAATATGCATTACTATCTCATTGGTCTAATTAACCCATTCCAAGGTACTTTGAAGGACTTAGAATCCTCCTTTCATCAAACTTCATGATTTCTGCGCTGTCCAGCTGGAAATAGAAGCTCAAGAGAAATCAGGTTCTGCAAGACAGCTTCCTCCCTGTCCCTCACGCTGCTGTCTGTCCACAGAGCACAACACCAGCATCAGAACCTCCTCTGGCTCGTGCTTTCCCTGAAGATGAGGCTAAAGAGGAGGGCGATGCCAAGGAATTTCCACGTGTTGCCACTCCACAGCTTGACCACCCCGAAGCAGTAAGTGGCAGCTTTGGTTGGCACTGTCTCTGGTGCAGTGCAGAGCTGCAAGTTCCTGCTCAGACAGCATTTGCCCTTTGTGGCTGAAGATTCTGAGAGCTGGAGTTTCTCCATGACTCCAGCGCTTCCCCGCAGCCCCTTCACTGTCGAAGTAGTTCCTGGCACAACTTAGACCACAGCCCAACTTTGACATGCCCCAAGGCAGGGGAGAAGAATCCGACACAGCTCTGCATTGCACAGGGAAGGGTCTGGGTGTGAAGGCTGGCAGGCAGTCCTTAAGGGCCACTCCCTAAAGCTTGAAAGACTGAGGGGAAGTCAGTTGAAGAGATCAGAGAAGGGAAATGCTCCCTGCTTCTGTTGAGAC